CATAGCCCCCCACTGCAGACATCCTGAAGCAATATCTTGGCTGTTAGGATAAATGGGGCTAGAAAACCCAAAGGATCAAACAGTGAGCTGACAGTCGACAAGATACCTCTTCAGGTAGTAGGCCTATCCTTCAGAGTGGTCATGAACTGAAAAGTGTCAGCTTCTGCATTCCAGTGTATGCCAAGAGTACGTTCATAGGGCAAGTGATCCAAATCCAGATCAAACACAGACGGTGCCCTTTCATCAGCTGGAATAGCTGTCAGAACCTCTCGGTTATTGCATTTCCCGAGTCTAAATCCACCCTTGTTTAGCAGACCGATGAGCTGACAGGCAAGATTAATGCCGGCTTCTGCGTTGCTCACCGACACCAGAAGGTCATCAACATAGAAGCTGTCATGTACTGCTCTGGTAGCAACCTCTCCATAAACAGCACCATAGTCCTTGGCTGTTTTCCTCAGGGCAAACCCTGCACAACTGGGAGACGACATGGCCCCAAACAAGTGAACCCGCATCTGAAAGTCAGTGGGATCCTTCAACAAGTCATGATCTGGCCACCAAAGGAATCGTAAGGCATTGCTGTCTCTCGGAGGCACCCGCACTTGATGAAACATAGCCTCTATGTCAGCTACCAATGCAACAGTCTCCTGACGGAACCGTGTAAGCACACCCACAAGGCTGTTGGTGAAATCTGGGCCCTGCAGGAGATTATCGTTGAGTGATGTACCCTTGAATCTTGCAGCGCAGTCAAATACCTTCCTCATTTTGCCAGGCTTCTGAGGATGAAACACCGGGTGATGAGGCAAATACCACCTTTACCCCATCTCAGCATTTGGTACATCTTCTGTCACCGGCCTAGCATACCCTTTCTGGATGTAACCATCAATGGTCTCCTTGTATTGCTGACACAGCTCTCCATCCTTCTGCAGGCGCTTCTTGAGGGAGCCAAGTCTCGTCTCAGCAAGAGCCCTGTTGTCTGGCAACTTGACATTCTCGCCTCTCCATGGCAGACCTATCTCATAGTGGCCATCAACCAACTTTACTGAATCATCCATAATAGCTCTTGCCCTCTTGTCCTCAACCGAGTCGCCTCGCTTGGTGTCCATGATAGACCCACCAAAGTCTACCTCCCAAAACCTCTGAACCTGCTGAAGCAGCCGATCATCTTGCAAATTGGCATGATGACTATTGAGGCCTCCTGCCCGTTTCTTAAGTGAGGTCGATGTAGGGCCAACAAGCGTCCATCCCAGAAGGGATCGCACAGCGTAAGGTTCTTTGCGTCCTCCTCGCCTCTCATCCATCACCCAAAATGCCTCCGGAA